GCTTGAAAGTTGATGTGGTGACATTTGCTGCAAGTCGTAGAGCGGGGCAGTATGACAGCGTGCAGTAGACCTTCGAAGCAAAGCGATTGAAGGCGCTGGCAGAATCCTAGCAAGATGAATCTATGTGAAACCTGAAGAGAGATCGATGCTTTAGAGGTCGAGAGGGCCCTAAACTACATTCATTAATATATCAAACGCTTATTACAATACGACAGGGCCCCATTCTCAGTAAAGAGACCTCCTGCCACAGACGACGAATTAACTGGGGATGCTTCCTAAGGCCGCCAACGTGTGGTTCTTGGAGGCTTACGGCGCCTCAGGAACTCCCGAGACCCTGGTGGATTCCAACCGCTACGAGGGATTCGAGACCTTCGACTTGGAGCCCCGCGTGGCCTCGGAGGTGCTCGGTGACCGGCCTTCCGGAGGGATCCTTGGAGACACAGGGGGACCCGCGTTCGAACATGACGGAAAGAAGGGACGGAAAGAAAGGTATCCGAAGAAGATGAAGAACTTGAAACAAATGCAAGAAGAAGCAGAAAGAACACCCTTCTTATTCGTAGAGTTATCTGTGAGTTCATGTTACAGTAGAGGTCACTGACGTCCAAGACTGGACGGAGAAATAGCATGAAGGTGCCGCTTGTTGTTGAACAAAGCTTCAAGAGAGAAAAGTGTAGCCAGGTAAATAGATCTAGAATTACAACATATTAAAACATAAGCAAGCATATGAACATGTTACATAAAACAAGGAAAAACGTACATATCGACAGGAAGAGTCCCGGTGGTATAGGAACCTCGAAAACAGAGCTTGTAAAAAAAACAACGCGTGTTCCTGCCTTGGAACCGAAGGCATGGCCGCAACGACGCGCCTGCGCGTGCCGCGCGTGCCGACACCCTCACTGTCAATGGCGTAGCTTGACGTGACGTGCAATAGACCCATACAAGCCCCTTCAACCCCCCCGCATTGCATTTTACGAATTACAGCTCAAACTGAACAAAGATTCATAAAGATTCGATGGAGAAGCCCGTATCTATGGCACTTACTGTAATGAGATTTGTGTTTGCCCAACATGTTGATTTTGTTGGACATGTTGTCTCGAAGTAATTGTTGGCGAGGTTTCAATTTCACTCAGTCCAGTTGTTTTTTGAAGAAACATCCCAGGATTGTGGCACAGGTGACATTGTCTCCAGATGCACTTGACTCCAAAAGCGCACGCTGGCGGTTGCCCTCCTTCTACACAGCTGCAGTGCAACTCATTCTGCCCTCTTTGCCCGCCCGTTTGCTAAACGTACCTTGGGTCCAGCATGAATGATTGATGGGTTGTCAACCCATTTCGACTTAACTTGCTTGCGAAACAACAATGGTCAATATCGTGGTCAATATCGATACTGTTTGTTGAAACCAGAGTCAGAGTAAATACCAGTTGATCGGCGACCAGCCTCTAAGCCAGGCGACCCTGCTCATCTCCATCGAGTTCCGATGGGCGCAGCTGCGATGTTCAAAGCCGCCGCGACAATTTGATCCAGGCAGCCTTCCAGCAGGTGTCTTGTGCTATGATGAAACATCGAGGGGAGGCATTGGTCAGCTCGAAAGCAGGGAAGCGCCTGGACTCAGACTCTGTGGTTTGAAATTTGGGGAGGTCAAGATCTGTCAAGTCAAGGCATGGATAGATATGAAAAGGAAGCATTGGAACCTAGCCGCTAGCCACTAACTGCCACTCAGAACTTAGCAGCTAGTGGAAGAAATCATTAGACATCGGCGTTAGTTCCCGAATCTCCAACTGACGCTGAAGCAAATTCCAATCCATCCAGCACCGCCTTTCTCCCAGGTACTTATAGCTTTCGACAACATCGTGCCTTTGAGATCGGGTCTTTACGACTTTTCACTGGTTCTCCTCACCCAGTTGAGCTCGCGCATTGGTGCACGCAGTGCACGTGCCTGGCCCAGAGAGACGGCCTGGTCCATGAGTTTGGGCTCGGGAAACCTGGAGTTCAGGACGGGATAAGACGGATGGTCTGCTCTAAGCAGAGAGAAGGTGTGACATTCGTAGCGAATTGGTACCAGTCCTGGGTTGGCCACAAAGATCTGGTCCCAGTTTCAGCTGCGGGGAGCATGGAAGCCAGACTCCTATCCTACCCGTTTTCTTCGATCTGCCTTCAACCGGGGAACAATAGTGCTAATTATTGATCACCGTGGAACCAGGGACCGTCTAGCAACGGTCACTAGCAGGTTTCAGGTTTCAACCACATCCAACCATGTCCAACCATGTTTCCTTTGCGACCTGTGGCCAGGACCACTGTAGCTTCGGTCGAGGCCTTCGAGGGGCGAGCCTTGCCATCCAAACTGCTGCGAGATGTGGGGCTCGCGACCAGCAACACCAAGCGAAGTGAGGCGCGCCGGGTGAAAAAAATCAGAAACCCACATAGGCCCTAGGCAGCATGTTAGGTTGGATTTTGCAGGACGACCTTCTTGGATGGGGACTCGAACTTTGGCTCAATGTGCCTTTTAAATGATCTTGCCAACTCGTCGAACGATCAAGCGCCTTGACCCTGAGGAGACGACCATCGAGCTTTTGCTGTTTTTGGATTCTGATTTCGTCTTGCCTTTGTCCTTGGAAATCGACGCCTGGAGCAATGGATGATTTCTCCAGGTTTTGACAATTCTGGACTCTAGAGACTGTTGGCAATCTATATTTGGCATCAGTCAGTATCAGCAGTACCTGTCGGGTGTTGAGAATCGATTCTGTCCTGTCGAATAGTTACTGCCAATAAATTGGGAGAACCAGGACAAACACAGATTTACAATTCACATAGTGGCTATCTGGAAGACAAGGAAGCAAGATGAAACAAGCAACACAATGCAGTACACTTCCTTTGGGGTACCATTACCCGGCATGCCAAATCAGAAACACTTCTTTCATTTCTCTATATTTTTCTCATCCCACACATTCCCACTCTCCCACGCACTCCTACACGCAACAAAACAGTCCTACCTAGCGGTTCTTTCTTCTGTGTGACCGAGGAACCACCTTTCGGCTTCCAACTGGACACCTCTCCGTCGCCGTTGCACCCGGCCTTGGCCGCACGGACGGGGGTGAACCCCTTCCGTTCCGGGCGCCCGGACGTGGCGACGAGAGAGCGAGCCGCACGGCCAGAGCGAGCCGCACGGCATCGCCGCAATGCCTGATTCCTCGATGTTTATAGATTTGTGTGCTAGATTCATTAGATACATATTCATTAAATATAGATTCATTAGATTTCATTAGTTCGTTCAATCATAATGATATCATGACTGCAATCCTTCTTGCTGGACCACTTCCTAGGTCCCATGCTCGATGGTGGTGGTTGCGGACACGCTGAAACCGCGGGTGTTTGAGTCCGACCGGGGCGGTGATCGTGGAGACATTTGCAGTGCTCAGCTGGCAGGAAATATGGGTTCATCCATTCTGGCAGTTTGTATGGAGGAGAGATACGTTTCATTGCCAAGCTCCGAGATGGATTGTTGCTTGATTGGATTCTTTGATACTATTTAGCACCATCAGGTAAAGTGATCACTGCTAATCGATCTAGTCTCAGCCAATCCTCTTCTGGACTCAGCAGCAGGTGATTGCTTTTAAAGTGATCCTGGCGGGAGTTGGACACTGTTGGAGTGTCGCACCCATATTTTATCATATTTTCATCATCCCAGGCTATGTCCTCCCCAGCAAAGCCATCATTGAGCTGGGCTTCGCCTCCACAGCTCCGACACCCTTGCCGGCGGGGCGCTACTACGTCTCTGTGCGAGGCGCTTGGGAAGTCTGGGAAGCAATGTTGAGCTGGGACGATGATTAGGAGGGATGCAGAACAATAGCAGACTCAACATTGTTTCCAAGAGACTTAGACACTTGGAATGATGATTAGAATCAGAAGTTAGAAGCGACTAACAGACAACTGTTCCAAGAGACTCAGACATTCGGAGGCTACAACCCACCGACGGCGCCTTCGAGCTTGGAGGAGGACTCCCCACGACATTCCTGGAGGCTTACGATCTCCAGTCATGCTCCCAATCAACTGGCAGGCAGGGGTAGGCAACCTCAAATCAAGGCCAAAGGTCTTTGAGGAATGGTTCGATCATGTTCCAACTTGCGTCCCCTGGCAGGGCTCAATTTCACTTTCGCACCCTTTGCCTATGGAAGTGTACCCAATTTCATTCTGGATGACACCTTGGCGGCCGATACGATTTGGCACCTTGGAAGGAAAAGACATTAGCAGTAGCCTCTTCAGGAGGGAAGACAGCTTCTTTCTTCTTACCGGGTCTTATATAGCCTATGTGGATCAGGCCGCAGTCGATTTAAGAAATCCAAGCCTCGCGTGGCCAGTGTGGGACGGTCAACCATCTTATCCCTGTTTTTGAAATGTATGGCAATCAAACAGCTTGGGGTGGCATATAATATGAGCCTCGCAGGATTCTATGTTGGAAGGGTTCTCAACTTGGAACCTTCAAGAAGAAAAGCTTTGTCCTAGTGGTATATAGACGAGTAAAACAGCCACGCGCATGAAATTTTGTATGACAGGTGAATTGAACACATTGTGCTCCTAGGGTCATCCAACGGTGCTATTTTGTGCTCATGTGAGTTCCATTTCGCTTACGCATTGATCGCCCATGTCTTAAGGAGGGGAGCATCCTGGCCGAGCAATGACCCGGAGACGCTGTCTGCTGTGCTCACCGACGACCTCTTGAGTCCCAGTCGGGTGATCCCTCTGACTCGAGCATGGAGAGAGTCAAAAGACGAGTGGTGGATGCGTGGCCACCGATGTGTCGTCGATGCGTGGTTGACCGACCTATACCGGTAAAGGGAGAGGGGACCGCCACAGAGGATCCCCAGAATGGAGAGTTTCTTCTCCAAAAGGATGACACAAATGATGCTGCCCAACTTTGGGAGTGTAAAGCATGACTCGTAAGAATTTCACAAGATCTGTCTTTGTCAGCCCCCCACCTCATCTCCATCACTGGAAGACTCCAGGCACGGGGTGTGAGCATGAGCTCACTGACCTGGAGGGACGTGGTGGTGAAGCTCCTCAGCAACGAGGCTCATCTCCCCTTGCAACGCTCGGGCGCTCAGCGGGCTCCTTCGCCTCGCTCGCGCCAAACGAAGGTTCGGCACCGAAGGAGTTGTGTTGTAATCGAAGCACCCATCTGCAGCAACCCATTTGCACCAAACTTGGCTAAGAGGGAATCAAGGCAGGCCGCCCAGCATGCACCATGTTATTTATATGTTATATAATACTTTGTTTTAAAATTTTTAGGGCATGCAGATTGCCTTCCTAGAGTTGTTCAAGATGTTCAAGCCTACGCTCAGGCCGCGTGCAGTACGTTGGTGAGAGGATCAAGTGGTTCTTCCAAATCCAGAAGGTCGGGGGATGTCACTGAACAACCACCAATGCACAATTCTGTGCCTTGGTGTTCAGAACCTCTGTTGTATTGGTTGTTCAGTTTTTGCGAAGGTGCCCAAGTTTGTCAGAGACGCTTTTTGTTCCCGTGAAGTATCGGCCCACATGTGTTCGGAAAAGATCCTGGTGTGTGTGGAGAAGAGTGAAGTCATGGAGTGTGGAGAAGCTTTTCCAGTGCAGCAAAAATCGTTCCGACATTTCTCCTCGCAAAGCAGGCACAAACTGCAGATCCAGTTAGCAAGATACATATCCGCACCAGTGTTTTCTCGTGTCAGGACTCAGTCATTGACTTCATGAGCAGCTTGGAGGGCAATCCTTCTGAGACTCGGCCAAGTTTGGAGCGTCAGTCATCCGGGTCGAAGCAAAGTTTGAAACAACATCCAAGGAGACTGAAGAAGAATGAAGAGATAGAAAAAAGAGGGTTTTCGGACTCCTTTATAGGGCCTTTGGCCCTCAATACAGGGGTGTCCAAACTTATGTTCTCTCTTGACTAGTAAGCAGCCATGAAGTATGAAGGCACCCGACCACAGTCAGAAGTTGCTGCATTGGCCTAGAGGCTGAGAGCATCGTGACAACCAAGGAAAAGATGTACTCCAGCTTGTTGCCCAAGAACGTCCGGGAGTCTCAGGGAAGAACAGCTGTCAATCCATTGAAATGGGTGGATATGGTGTGAGAGGGCAACGGTGGATATGGTCGCAGAAGCGTATTTACTGCAGGACAAGGCTCAAGTATATAGAAATCTGAGGCGGAGAAGCTATCGATCTCTGTTTTTTGCTGTGCTAATGTTTGCTGCGCTAAGCAGTGGCTGTGTTTCAAGCAATAGTAACTTTCAACAACCACCACCACACAGCCAGGATACCACAAATGGTGAGCAGTGCTCGATCTGGCTACTCTATATCAGCCGTATTATAGAGAGTGCGTAGCTGGTCCCACCATTGATCGCCATTGGTGAAGGCAACTTGGATATCCATGATATTATGATGCCGGCGATCAAGAGAGCGCATACTCATGAGCGATGGAGCTTAGCTGTCAGGTCCAGGGATACCGACCCCCCTAAGTGTGAGGTGATCAAGTTCGGTCAGTTCGGCCTCATGTTGAGGTAAAGCTCATCAAGCAGAATGAGATGATCAAGCATTTGGTCTTCTCGACCTATGATCAGGTGACTTTCCAGAGATGAATCTTGATGGTGCAACTTGAAGTACGATTGGCTCCATACGCTTAATTAATGTTCTAGGCTAGTTAAGGCGAAGTGTTCATTCTTTGGCAAAAAGACCTTGAGTTAGTTAGTTAGTTAGTTAGTTTGTTTGTTTGTTTGTGTGGATCATGATTTCAATTTCTTGGTTTACTCTTCACGACAATTTTTTTGAGTGCTCAACTTGGGTATATCTTGCTGGTGCCAAGGCTCAGTAGGCGGCTCAGCACGATCAGACAGACTCTGAAGAGTTTACTCAAAAGCGTAGAGCCAGGCTTGCCAGCGACAGCTGAACCAGTTCATCGAGCTCTTTGATAACATGCTCACGTTTAGCTGGCCGTTTATGCTGCCCCACCAAAGCAATGCATGGGTTGTAGGCTGAAAGTGCTTCAAGTGTCATGAAATGACACAGACTCGCCCAAAGTGATTTCAATGAAAGGGACGGAACTTCTTCCATCATTTGTGTCGTCTCATTTGAGAATGTTTGGGTAAGCATTTTTCACGGGACGAGCTTTTCTCCAGATGTTGAACAGCGAAGGCTCCAGGGTGATCTCAAAGACGCACTGTGGAGACGGACATGTAGGTAGACAAGTGAAGCAAGTCAAGCAGCGCAGACGGTAGCGACGTGGATCTCTGGCGGACGGTGCCAGGTCGACCTTCGCAAACCCCTGGGTCTTCCTCAAGGGTGCCACATACACCGGCTACGAGGTGGGGTGAGGGGATGTGAGGGGGTTGGACTGGGAGCAAGATCCGAGGCCAGGAGCCCCGATCGTAGCTTCTTGTTCCTAGTAGTAAGGTCAGGAGCCCCTAGTAGCGTCGCGCCAATCAGGATGTTTTTCCAAGTGTTTTTTCACATGTAAGTTGTATAAGTGGACTAATTATTATACGCCAGAGTGAAAGCACTGTTGCAGGATGGGGACACTGCTTTGCCATCCTTGGATGATACCAAGGTGCGTGACCAAGACCTATACTTTGAATTATTTTGAGTGGTTGTCATGATGCTCAGACTCGTCGACTCAACTGATCTCCAACCTGCCCCAAGCCTCGCTGTGCGGTACAGTTCACTCAACTGTGTCACGTGTGTTGAACCCCTCAACTTGCAATGCGTGTAGAGCCCAGCCTCGGCCTCATTCCGAACTTGACCGAGGACAGGATCCCCAAGGAGATCCAGAGCCGATCCAGCATCGACACTGGCCTGCGTTTGGCTGCGGAGAGGGGCAGTGATGTAGGCAGCGGCATGCTGTACACCTGTGGGTATGAATGCAACGGTGATGATGCAGCGTTTCAAATTTGATATCATCATGTTTTTCAAAATTAGTTTTTTTGTTTTGTTTACATGCTGCCCTCAAACAGCTGGGGGCTATAGGAATATCATTGCAGACATTTCCACTCAACATTGGAATTGAAAGACCTGACGCAAAGCAATCCTGCTGAAACTGTTTGGGGTCTATGCTGGTATAAGCAATACATTGTGTATGTGTCTTTTGACTTCAATGCGATTGACTTCTCTACACCTCTGATGTTCCTGGCCAAGGAGAGTAAGCTCTCGGAGTGGCTGCTGGGCATTCCAACGGACTCACATCAGATCGATGAAGCCGGGCCATCGACTCACGCTCAACTCACATGATCCTGGCAGTTTTTTCTCATATGAGTCACATGAGCTTGGACATTTGACAAACAATATAGATTTTTTGGGACATGTAGACATGTCCTCGTCATGATGCTGCCCATGACGGTTTGGCGTCCTTTGACATTGGACCGATGTCACCCGTGTCATACATGAAAACTGTGGCACCACCCGATGTCACCCGTTTGTCGCTGGAGAGTTTGTTCAACGGTTTTTTTGCGTTGCAGAGAAGCTCCAGAAAAACTACAGATGCAGAGAAGCTCCCCTGACAGGCTGTGGACAAGGTGCAGATGCTGGTCCTCAAGACTTACAGTTTCATTCGCTCCCAGGTTTGCGACCAGGCTCGTGAACTCTACGGATTCATATGAATCGACTTCACGTCGTGCTTCATCCAAACGCTGCAAAATTGTTGGTATGCTCCACGGCCACTGCGGACTACATGGTTAATCTTTCTAATGTTATTGACTTTTTCCTTGAAAAGTCAATGGTCAACCCCAACAAAGGGGATCTCTTTTGTTTCATCATCCAATAAGGACCATTATTGCTTTATTGTCAAACTACATGCATCCAGCTTGTGAGCAAGTACGCCCTCCAGCATGTGATCAGGGCAACAGGGAGTTGTTCCCGAAAGTCCGACGAAAGAATGACATGGACCGGAACACGTCCTCTGCCTGTTTTCCCCATGGAACACCTGCAGTCGCCTCCGTTGGGTCGAGACAAGACCAACGAGCCTCGAGTCACCTTGGGGAGTCGGCTGTTGAGGTGGAGCTTTTTGCTGAGTCCTTCTTCAAGCTCCCGATGCTGCGTCGCCTCGAAGAGGTGCGAGGGGAGCTTGGGCTCAACTGATAGACTGATAGACGAGGACGTCACCCGGATGCAGACAAAGCCCCGGACTCAGTTTGGCAAGAAATAAGTAGTTGGAGGTATTCACCCTCCTCTTAAAGAAGGAGCCAAGAAGCAACAGGAAGTTCCAAAAAAATGGGTGGAGCCTTCGATGCAGAAGAGGAGCCCAGACTCTGTGCCTCTTCTCAAGAAAGGAGCGCGTGGAAAGGGTTTGCAATAAAGAGGCTTAGTTGGATACTGTATAAATATAAGGTTCTCAACATCGTGCAGCACACACACTGCTGAGCGTTCCTTCTAATGACCCAAGTAAGAATTATTACCACAGACAATCGCCTTTGCCACATGTAAATGTAGCTTTCTTCCAACCCACCTAAAGATGGGCTGTAGGAGGTAAAGCTAATGAGAAGCATTCCTCTGCTCAGATGTTACTTAACAAAGTGATCTCAATGAGTGCAGTAAGCCAATCAGTCGGTACATGTCAACGTTTTGCATCCGACTGGATTGGACAGAAACTCGTTCTAATCCACCACAGAACGCTTTTACTTCATTTCCTTCCTTCGGCCAGGACATGAACAGGATCGCTCTTTCGGATGCTGACAAGGCCAATTACAAGGCAGGATGGGGAGGAGTTGGCACAACACATCGCGCCTCCACATCGTCGTCGTGGTTTGGTGCCATTCGATCCAGAAGGGCGAGAATGGTGTTCAATTCGTTGCCTCGCATGTTGGCCCGCCTGTTTGCGCCTCAGTGGCAAGACCAACCCCCTGATGACATTCACACCGACTTTGTCTGAATATCTTCCCACGAGACGCGAATTCATATCCAATCCGGTCGAATTCGGAAGCTTCTCCGGAGCTGTGGAGCTTGGAGCCCCTGCGGGAGCTTGGACCCAAGGCGCGTCGCGACCGACTGGAGGGCGAGGTGGTCAAGGCGCGGCGGTTCGCGCGACGTTGAGCGATGGAATGAAGACCGTTCAGTTTCAGTTGAGAAAGAGGGAACCAATAGGGTAAGAATTTGTTGGTTTTGCTTTTTTTTTTCTCTTCCGGTGATGGGGTATGCAACATCTTGAGAACCAAAATAGGTGGTATGGATATTTGCTGTTCCTGTCGAGTCACGTGCGTGAGATGAGACCTGTGCCACATGAATACAGCCACTTGGTATTTTCATGAATCAGATTCGGATGATACAAAACGGTACTGTATCAGCTGCAACGTGCATACAGATTCCGTCAAGGACTGGTTCCTCATCCATGTGTGTTTTCAGGTGAAAGAGAATCTGAAGGAGGTGGCTGAATGCACCGAGAGACTTCAGGCAGAGATCATCAACGCATTGAACGGGAATGGAGAACGCCCCCCGGGAACCGTTGCAGGTGATTGGCACCACCGCTGAGGTGAATGATTCACGCAGCGCAAGCTTGTGATCAACTTACCTAAACTCATCCGGGAGCCATGGGGTTTGATTGCAATCTGGGCTCGGCCTGTCATTGAAAGCATGACTACAAAAGACAACCATAAGACTACCAAAGTGAAGCCACAGATGACACAGACAATAGATGATCATAATATGATTTGTGCAAACGGAAGCTTCTCTCATTCCAAGATTATTCACAGGACTCACAACATAGCTTCATGGACGTTGAACATGATTTTTCAGAGCCCATGGAGTTGATCAGCCTATTCCAGCACATGGTGTTTTCTTTCTTTCTCACTTAAAGGAGTCAACGTTTTCGGCGCTATTGATGTGGCCACTCTCATCTCACGGCTTTATTCCGGTCGATTGATCCCACCGGCCGCACTGTCGCGCCAGGCCTTCAAGCTCAAGTGCCAAGCACAACGTGCCCGCTGAGCGCTCGGCCGCAGCCCCGTGGGCCTTCCCTACGGTGGCCATCTCAGCCCTAAGAGATGAAGTGAAACAGACCAATGACAAAGAGGAATTGTGGTCATCAGACCTAGCATAACTGGAGTCGTTAAGGTGACGATTTTGGGGTGACATGGAGGTTTCGGTACAGGTCAGGTTTCGGTACATGGAGGTCACTGGTCCTGGCCCATTTTGAGTCCAAAGGAATTCTGAGAGGATCAACCGATTTTCCCATGAGTTCACATTTTACTCGCTAGGAAGGCATCCGACGTTTGGGCACACATGGGGGGGGATATGAGGGTCGATTTTAATAGACAAAAAGGCAACTTTCGGCTACATGATGCCGCAGGTATCATGATGCATATGTAAAACTCATGATACTTGCGGCTGATCAGATTTGACCCCCGGTTTGGACCCATGACGATTGGGACCGGGGTGGCCGCTTTGCATCGATTCTCGCCTGGTATCACCCGACAAAATTCATGTCCAATTCGCCCGTGGCACGCGAGACGCTCATGAGATCACCTGAAGCATGGGCAAATCAGCTCCTACGAGAACTGGATCATTGAATCATTGAATAATGTTCTCAATATACAATATATAGTTTAAAAAAAGCCTGCACTCAAGTAGAAACCCAAGCGGTCCCCAGAATCCCCAGCAGCCATATTTCCAATTGCTGGGTGTCAGCTTCAAGGAGATATAGATCATTTCGATCATGATGAAATCATTACGTCCGCTATTGGTGGGTATTTCTGGCAATGGGCTTCGCTTTGGTGGCTTACGACCAACTTAACTTTGTGCGCCTGTTGGATTTAGTATCCTATAAGGAGGACATTTCCTAGAAGGGCATGAAAGATTACGTTCAACATGTTTGGTGACGTAGCTTTGAGCGTGATAGATCCCTGTGGATTGACTGAGCCTAGGGCCTCTAGGGCCTAGAATCCTCCCAGCTGAAGTTGGCACACGTGAGGCGTCCGCGTCGCACAGACATAGCATCAATGGCTGTGAAGCAGCACTTGGAGAATTGGCCCATTTCCAAGATCAAAAGTTGTCCCCACCTCATTTGGATAAGCGACAATGTATGGAACAAATACTGCTTCCCACAGACACCAGCAGTGAACCAAACCTGTGGGCAGATATTCCAAAAGCTTGGGGTCATCAAGACCCTTTCTGGGTCCTGATTTATTTAGCATCAAGCAGAAAAAGGCATGGGATATCGCTCATGGAAGTGTGAATTGGAAGAGTCCGTCTACGTTGGAAAGTTTGTGTCTGGGGTAAGTATGCACTTCGAGCATGGTGCTTCCAGCTACAGGAGATAGATATTTTGAGGGAGTTGCAAGCGTTGGTTGTTGTATCGAGCAAGCTTGTCCGGGGCGCACATTCTGGTGATATCTGGTAAGGCAGATGCACCGCAATGATGCAGCCTTTGTGCTTTCGCATCTAGCAGTCACATGTGTCAGTCTAGTACAAAGGGTAGTCTATGTAAATCAGCCTACCATTTCTGACTCTCTCGTCTAGCCCTCAGTACAGCATGTCATCCCCTTTTGACCGTTGACCATATTTCAGCGTAAGCATGCGTAAGCGCAAGCGTCAAAGGCAAAGAAACGAGGCAATTGTCTCCATGGCTTCGGCTGTTTCATTGTTTGTCCCAACCCATACGACAAGATGTTTTTCCCCATGGCTTCTGCCATGTGAGCCTCCAACGTTTTTCTTCACCATTTGTGGGCCACAAGTTGACAGGTTGCTATTGGGCATTATCACATGCATTAGGACACAATAAGCTCATGCGCTTGTGAAGCCGGAAGCCATGGATCTCTTGGTGCCCTCGGAGCCCTTTCGCAGCCACCCCTGTGCTGTTCGGCACACCCATGCCGCGGGTCCCACACCTGTGAGACACCTGCAGCCCTTGGGGTTAGGCACCACGGCTTTGGCCGGAGTGGTGGCATTGCGAAGACTGTCCAGTACAAGAAAGGCTTGAAACTCAGGATGTAGTGCTAAGACTTCTGGCGCATTGTTGTGCTTTTTTAGCTAACCATGCTTTTCACCACAAGGGAGTGAGAAGTTGCCATGCATGAATTGATGTGTTACCCGCGGGGCCGGCACTCGCGCCCAGTGACCACGCACCTTCCTGAGGCGGCGAACGCGGGCGAAAAGGCCAAGCCGTCGAAAACTGCCTCGGGAAGGTAGAGTCAAAGTTCTTTGCAGATGGACACCAACAACTCATGTGTGTGTGTGTGATGAACATGATCTCAGAGATGTTGCCAAAAATGCCTGCTGCCTGCTCGTGTGCATTTTGTTGCGGTGCAGGTGCAATAAGCACTCCTTGGTTTTGATAGACCCTGCCCCAACACCGTGATTTATATGTAGTCAACACATGTCAACACTATATAAGGATGACTCAACTCTCATCACATGAATCGCCAACATCACCGGGCGCTCCGCCGTTGCTTTTGCTTGAAGATCTATCCTCCTTCCACCTCGGCACCGCACCGAACATCCACGCGTCACATCCACGACCGGACCTCCGGACCGAAGCGATGAGCGGTGCAGGTGGTGGGCATCGATTTGGGCACCACCAATTCAGTGGTCGCAGCAGTGGAAGCAGCAGTGCCCACGGTGCTCCCCAACTCCGAGGTGGGCTGCGGCAGTGCCGGAACGGGCGGCGAGA